TCTCTCAGTGTGACTCCTGAGTTTAGGTTTGTTAAGAAAGCTGGCTAAAGAATTAAAAAAAAAAATTGTGCGTGTATCCAGGATAAATTGGACACGTAGAATGGTAGCCAGCCAATGAATCTATGTGGACTTACCCATGAGGCATACTGAGACATCAGTTAATTATGGTTTCTGGGGAAAGGGAGTCAGGAAGGGCCAGAGTCCATGGTTCAAAGAGTAACCGGTGCTCTAAACCATGGTTGCCAAAGTATCAGAGTGAACTCTGGGTCCAACCAGACCAGAACTAACTCCTAACAGACTCCTGATATAAAAGACAGGAGTTTCCCAGCTGTGAGTGGCAATTCTGGTTGAAAGATCTGAACTAGTTACTGTAGATAGATACAGGAAGAAAGGAGCATTCAGAGATAACCAAGACAGCCAGTCTCCAAATGACTGAGTGAGCTGGTGTTAGAGCTCTCTTCCCAGTAACTATTTGTAATGCAGACAGAGCACCTAATGAGTTAAGTATGTCACAGTGCAGATTGAGAAGAAATCTGCAATATGGTGATCAGGTGGTTAGGAGCTCATCTCAGGGACCCCCGTGTACAGAAGCAAGATAAATTTCAAACCCCCACTTGTGGGAGGCAGAAGCATCTTATTGTAGGTATTGGCGGGTTTGGGCAGGATTGGCCCAGGGACTAGGTGTTTTGAACCTCTCTGCAACCCTCAATGAGTGCTGGTAAGCAAGATCTGGAGAGGGAACAACCACCATTTGGCAGGGCTTTTTTCCTGGACTTCTCCACACTCCACACCCGCAAGCACACTGCCCTTGGCCTAAGTCTTTCTTTGTCTCTGCCTTCTTGGTACTCGGCCACCCCCCTACAGGTTCAAATGTATTACATTTTGCACTTTGAGCTTCCTGACTGCGTCTATCCCCACCTGAGGAAACTGTCCTTAAAAAGTTATCCGTCATTCTAACTCCAGATCTCAGCCCATAATTATACTGACCCCACTCTCAGCAAGTATCTAATAACCAGTGTAATCGGTGAACTCACACAATTATCAGTAAATCGGAATAGTTAGGGTAAGGCCTTGCTGTAAGATGTCACAATCAACATTTTGTTCTCAAGTAATTAGAGAAGAATAGAAAAATCTAGAGATAATACAGTGGATTGAATAATATCTCCATGAGTCATTGGCCTGCCTCTAAAAATAACTTGCAAAAATAAGTTCTGAGCTCTATAAATGTTTATGTATTTAGCAAATACTTGAAAAAACATCAGAAACTTTGAGGATGAGGTCAACTCTTTGCGTATGTCTTTCCTGTTGCACGTGATCTGTTGATGATTCAATGTGCTAAACAGGGTGAGTTACTAAAAAAAAAAAAAATTGGTTTTAGCTTGTGGTTCGTTCACACCCACTCCTAAAAAGGAGAATGTGGCATTCCTAAAAGAATCTCTCAACATGAGAGATTATGTCGATTAACTCCTAAGAAAAGGAGGTTGAGAAGAAGCTACAAAGAGAAACATATGGGTAGGAGGTTTTGGGGGGTTTAGGGAAGAGATGGAAATTGCACTCAGAGTATCTGGCAGAGCCCCGAAGCATGAGTTGGTACCCCCCTTAATCCCCTAGGAGAGCTGCACACCACACTGAAACTGACAACCTGATCACAGATGCATCACATGGGCAAGCAGGACAGATGAAGAGTCACAGAAGGCTTATCCAGTGGTGGGGTCCCCGAGTCCAATAGGGAGCAAAGCTGAGAACACCCCCTCTTCTCTGCTGGACTGCTTCACACTGTCTCACTTCAGCATTGTCTTGAAGGAAAAGGAGTCACATTCATGACCAAGACTGAATTTCTAGCCATCTCTGAAAAAAACAAAGGGTTGTAAAAAACGTTTCAACCAAGTTTTGAGGATGGTAAGATTTATACCCACTGCCCATGTTATAGACTAAAAGTATCTTCCAACTTTGTGTGTGTATAAGGACACAAATAAACTATCCTGAAAGGCTGGTCAAAGACCTGGAGGAAAAGAATTAAGAAATGTAGGGGGTGGAATATTACTCAGCCATTAAAAAGAATGCATCTGAATCAGTTCTAATGAGGTGGATGAAACTGGAGCCTATTAAACAGAGTGAAGTAAGTCAGAAAGGAAAACACCAATACAGTATACTAACGCATAGATATGGAATTTAGAAAGATGGTAATGATGACCCTATATGTGAGACAGCAAAAGAGACACAGATGTAAAGAACTGTCTTTTGGACTCTGTGGGAGAAGGCAAGTGAGAGGTGATTTAAGAGGGTAGCATTGAAATGTGTATATTATCATATGTGAAGCGGATCACCAGTCGAGGTTCAATGCATGAGACAGGGTGATCAGGGCTGGTACACTGGGATGACCCTGCAGGATGGGATGGGGAGGGAGGTGGAAGGGGGTTCAGGATGGGGACACATGTACACCCATGGATGACTCATGTCAATGTATGGCAACAACCACTACAATATTGTAAAGTAAATAGCCTCCAATTAAAATAAATAAATTTTTTTTAAAGAAATGCAGGGGAATGCCTTCTCCACGGTGCCCTGGCAGCTTTGCAAAGATCCACAGGAGGCTTCAGAGTCCTGGAAAGAGGACTTCAGATTCACCCAGAAGGGTATGAATGGGGGGGTGGGGTGCTGATAATGTGTTACTTCAGGCATCTTCCACCCCACTTTCTGTCTCCTCCAGAAGGTTGTCAGGATACAGGGTCTCGTTGCTCCTGATAAAGTATGAGAGTTTCGGCTTCAGCTTCTTCAGGTTATGACATAGCTCATCTGCTTACCTAGCTGCAGTCCAGATGGGCTGCCCAGTGAAGAGGTAGCCGTGACCTCCTGCTCGCTGTGTAGGAATAGGCCTGGCAACTGGCATCTGTACCACTCTTCCTTCCCCTCTCCGTGGAAGCAATAAATTCTCTAAAGCTGAAAGTGGCTTGCTGCCAAATCAGTATCAGATCGGTCAGGTCTCGGCCCTGGCCTTGTGTCATCTGTGGTTGACCAGAAGGGGGAAGAAAAACTAGAAAGCATGACCAAAGTTTAGAAAAGGAGCATAGAAAGCTATGTGAGAAATTCACCTTATGGGAAAGTTCTTAGCAGCAGTAGGAAAAATGCAATAAAGGAAATGGCTCTTGTTTTTAACTCTCACTGTGTCTACCCTCCTGAAATGTGTAAGCCATCCCTGGCAAAGTAGAAACAGTAGCGTGGTCTCTCAAGTGGGCTGAAGTGGGGAATCACACCTGGATTCAGGAAGCGCCAGCAATAACCAGGACTAGAGGTCCTAATGTCTGCCTGCAAGCATCCTGGGTGTTCTCCCTGTGGCTTAACTTTTTCAATATTGCTTTTTCTGTTTTAATGTTCAATGCAATAAGATAGAAACACACTTTGTTAAAAGCAGATGCTTTTTGTTTTCTTGTTCCTATATTCTAACGGACAAAATGAAGGTTCAGATGATGACAGGAAAAGGCTTTAAAAGCCTGGGAAGTGTACAAGTTCCTAAAATTGTGCTTCTCACTTGCCCACATAAAAAGAGTCAAACCTCAAGAAAATGCCTTGGATTTGTTTTTAATATTCTCTCTGCAGAAAATGCAAAACCATAGAGGAGGCATAATCACAGTGAGAGGGCACTGCTATAATTGACATACTATTAATATTTGCTAAACTCATAAAACATGCCAGACTTTGTGTTATGTGCTTTACTAAAAAACAAAATCAAGAACAAAACAACAACAAACACAAGCAAAAATCGTATTTAATCCTTATGACAATTTTGTGGGATAGTTGCTAGTAGACCCTCTTACCACATTCTTTCGCATCTATTCAGTTTAGCTGGTGGCGGAGATTTAAAGAACATGAGAAATTTAGACAGAGAAAAACTCCAGAATACACACACACACACACACACATTCAATATAAATAAATATACATATATTTTGGCATTTGACTTATCTCAAGGAATAAGACATAAGAGAAGTATACATACTTTCCTAGAGGAGGTGTAAATGCATACTTTTCCATATGAACTAGTATTCTCTCCTCTGGGGTACAGTCCCATATGCTTTTACATACTGAGTGACTAATAGTGAACTTCCTTTGCACTTTGATTATTCCTTTAGAAAGACTAAGTTGTTGCCACCACTCCTTACAGATTTGTGGCAAGGTTGCTTTCACCTACACTGAGAAACAAACTAACAGTAACTCTTAATCCAGAAGTCACCACGCTTCTGTATAGACCACCCCATTCCCCAGCCCACCGGCAACAGCGGCTGATAGATGAAGTGAATGGAAGCAAAAAGGAAATGAAGCCAAACAAAAAACCCTGAGGACATGAATTTTTCCAACCTGCCTTTGGCCCCCTAACCTTTAAATGCTCTGACATAACAACTGAATGATAAAATATCACATTTGCTATTAAGTTATTACAAATTTTCTTTGGTTTTAAATCAAATGTCTCAGACAGAAAAGCACAGAATATTCAATCATTCATTCATGCGCTAGCAAATATTTCTTGAGCTCTTATTATATTCTGGGCTCAGCCAATTAAAAAAAAAAAAAGAAGAAGAAGAAAGAAAGAAACAAAACACTAGGAACTATTGCTGAGTTTGGACTGTTGGCAATAGGGGCAAGGCCACATTAAGAACCCTAAGAAATGAGAGGATTATTCCCAGAAAGCTTAAGTCTCTGCTTTCAAATCTAGTGAATGTATAAGAAAACTACTACGGCTCTGGAAGAAAAACTTCATGTGTTATGTTCTTTTTTTTTTTTTTTCAAATCAAGTGGTAGATTTATTGGCTGCTTCTCTTATTTAGGGAGGTGAAAACACCTCAGTGTAGGACACTCTAAACCTTGTTTTGGCTTCCTGTTGTGCTGAAAAGACCAGCGACAGGTGGGCGGGCAGACAGTCATTGGACAGCAGAAGCAAACAGCCACCGCTCCCATTGCTACAATGATTCATCCATAGGCTTAAGGAATTTTCTGTCTGTTTTTCAGAGCATCTTCCTCTTTTCAAACTCCTTGTAGATGCTGGTTCCCAGCTGTGCCGGGGACATGCTGACCACAACCCCAGCGCTCTGCAGGGCTGCGATCTTCTCTTCGGCCCCACCTTTTCCTCCAGCAATGATTGCCCCTGCGCGACCCAGTCTTCTGCCGGGAGGAGCAGTTAAACCAGCAATGAAGGACACCGCAGGCTTGGCCTTGGGACCTGAATTATGTTGCTTCAAAAATTCTGCAGCATTTTCTTCGGCATTACCACCAATTTCACCAACCAATGTGATGCCTTCTGTGGCCGGACCAATTCAGAAAGATTTCAAGGCAGTCTGTAAACTCTGTCTCATTGAAAGGATCGCCTCCAGTGCCAACACACACACAGACTGCCCCAATCCAACTTGTGTTGTCTGGTGAACCGCTTCGTAAGTCAGGGTGCCGGATCTAGACACGATACCGACTCTTCCTTTCTTGTGACTATGGCCAGGCATGTTGCCAATTTGCACTCTCCAGGATTGATGGCTCCAGGGCAGTTCGGCCCGACCAGCCTGGCCTTCCCCTGGCGCCGCAGTTTGTGCTTGACCCGCACCATGTCCTGCGCGGGATACCTTCGGGGATGCTCACGAGCAGGGGCACTTCCGCCTCGATAGCCTCATCAGTGGCGGCAGCAGCAGAGGGAGGCGGGACATCAATGACAGACGCTGTCGCCCCAGTCTGTTCTTAGGCCTCCTTCACGGTGTTAAAGACTGGTAAGCCCAGGCGCGTCTGCCTCCTTTCCCTGGAGTGGTTCCTCCAACTAGTTTGGTGCCATATTCCAGTGCCTGCTGGCTATGAAAGGTGCCCTGCTTACCAGTGAAACCCTGGAAAATAATCTTAGTATTTTTATCAACATAGAGATGCTTCCTGGAGGTTGTATAAGAGCAATGCCGAATTCCATTCTGTTGCAAGAGGAAGGCGCGAGACAGGAGGCAGGCGGCGGCGAGGCCGCTGCTGCCAGAGGCCATGGTCGCAGCGGCACGGGTCCATATGCTATGTTCTTAGTGGAAATTCCTCCACCTTCTATTCGTCACTGGGTATAGGAAAGGCAATATAACGTCATCGATGAATCAGCTGGTTAGAGCACTTAAATAGTCTTAGTTTGGCCAAAGGACAGAGGACGAATACATCGCTGCTTTTCCAAATAATTGGCAAATGTGGTAATATTCCAGATTTCCCAAGTGAAGAGAATGCACAGTTCTTCAGTATATTAATAATAAAAGTGCCAAAACAAAAGTGTTGGTTTATTAGTCATTTTTTAATGTGCAAGTCATTGTGCAGAGCTTTGCTTTCAAACCTAACTCATATAAAGAAGGAATGGTATCTTCCGACCCTATACAATAAAGGTAAAACACACTTTCACTCGGGGACTCTATTTCGTTATCTATGTCTTTACTGAGCTGCCTGGGCAGCCTTGTGAAGATGAGTAAGGCCAGAGCTACCTTACATATATGACTCCAGAAACACAGGCCCATGAAGAGGTCACTTACACATGTGGAAACAGAGACATTCAAAATACAGGTTATCATCAGAGCAACCAATCAGAGCAACAGTGAAGGTGACTTGGCCCTCAGGGGCTAATGGGTTTTAAACCACACATACTTTGGTGCACTCACACGTGTACCTAGAATTATTGCCATTTTTCAACATATAGCTTAAAACACAAATTACTACTCTCTACTCTGATACTCAAGTTTTTAAGTTATATATATTTTATTGCCTAACTTCAGCACTTAAGAACTGAGAAGTAATAGGGAGATTTGGCTTCTTTTTCTTTTTTCTTATTTAGAAGTAGGAGGGAAAAAACATAGTTCTATTTTATTTTTAATCTTGAAAATAAAGTTCAGTTGCTCAGTTGTGTCCGATTCTTTGTGACCCCATGGACTGTAGCACGCCAGGCCTCCCTGTCCATGACCAACTCCCAGAGCTTACTCAAACTCATGTCCATCGAGTCAGTGATGCCATCCAGCCATCTCATCCTCTGTCGTCCCCTTCTCCTCCTGCCCCCAATCCCTCCCAGCATCAGGGTCTTTTCCAATGAGTCAGCTCTTCGCATCAGATGGCCAAAGTATTGGAGTTTCAGCTTCAGCATCAGTCCTACCAATGCATGCCCAGGACTGATCTCCTTTAGGATGGAGTGGTTGGATCTCCTTGCAGTCCAAGGGACTCTCAAGAGTCTTCTCCAACACCACAGTTCAAAAACATCAATTCTTCGGTGCTCAGCTTTCATTATAGTCCAACTCTCACATCCATATTCTTTAACAACATTAAAATAATTAAGGCTGCTTGAAAAGCAAGTAAAAAGGAGAGCTCTACTTTCCTTGGAATATCTGGGTCCTCATGTTGGATAGATTATATGATTCTTCATGTTAAGTCTCAAAAACAAAACTATCATTTGAACTTCAGAACAAGGGTCTAATTTGTTTCTGAACTGCAGTCCAGCATAAAATATGACAGTGCCAGGCATCATATTTGATTTTGGTCTGAGTCACATTATTTAATGGAACTTTAGAGATTAAGGAAGATAAGAATTGATTCATGTACACCAGAAACTAGAGATGTAGCCACTTGTTACAGAAATGTGATTGCTTTAATCTTTCTTCCAAATGCCACTGTACACAAATTGCATACATATTTAACACAGATTTAAACCAATAGTTGGGCAATATTAACAAATATTTGCTAAAAGGATTATTATTTCTGCTAAATCTGTTAAATGATCCAGCCAACTAAATGAGTAATTTTTCAGAATATTTATACGCGTCAAGCCTCGTATATAATACATACAGTACACTACATTAATTCTTCTAAAGTGTCTCCATAGTTCAATGGAATAATAAACCCTAGTCATTCATTATAAAGATAGAATGCTGATGCAATTTTCTTGTGACTTTAAGCCATATGACTGTCACCCTGAAAATACTGAATAATTTATACTTCAAAGATAAATTATCAACATATAGATTATGCTTCCTAGTGTTGTGAAATAACAATGAGGCAGTGGTCACAAAGCTGTATTTCTTGGCTTATGTTATGTTATGGATATCAAAATAAACCCCGAGACTTAAAGAAAACTTCAGAAGGCTTTAGAGCCTCTTATTCTGTGCCTCTTTCTTCTGTTCCAGTCTATTTGATTTTCATAAGATCCTGTGTATGAGATATCCTGAGAGCCTTTTCTGCAGTTGCCTTTAGTTTTCTTGATCTAGTGGCACGAAAATGAGATGAATATAAAGGATACAGTGAGAGGGAGAAAAATACCATTCATTTGAGATAATATAAAATTTCTTGCTCTAACAAATTATAGGGTTAATGATTTTTTGACAATAATTCCAGGACCAAAGAAATTCTTTCAGGGCTGATAAAAAAAACTTTCTGGTTGTTTCACTTGTCTTTAAGGTTCTAATTATAGTGGGCAAAAATTTTACTCTTCAAAAATAGAGAATTAACAGTTTAAATTGCCTCTAATACATCCCCTACAAATACAAATACTAGCATGAAGCAGAATCATAGAGCCCAATCCTAGCACATCTTACTATGATAGAAATCAAATAGATTTCTAAATCACTACATGTAATTTTAAGTATATTCTTTTGACATGCATTGTTAAACCAGCTTATAAACACTCCTTCCAAACATTTATTGAACATCTACTATGTACCAGACATACTGGTAGCCTCAGCAACGCATGGCTTACCTCTACCTTAGCACTTTTCACATATTACAAGAATGATTCATTCTCTTACCTGCCTTTTCAAGTAGACTTACATTTCTCAGGGCTTAAAAGCAAAATCACTGTCAGCAGAGTCCTTGCCGGTAACAACTTCCCAGAGGATGAGATATTTGAACAAAATTTTGAAACTCACTAATAGTAATTATACTATTAATAATAATTACAGTATTAAGAAAGAGGATGGAAAGGAGAAGGGGAAATCTGAAGGGATTCCTAATTGCTAGTGTTTCTTTTCCTGTTAAATCCTTAGCCTAACTCTAAGAGGTAGATAACACTACAGACCCCATTTTACTTACTAGTAAATCAGGATGCAAAGATGTGAGGTCACTTGATCCAAGTCAGCTGAGAAGCAGAGGTGAGTGAGGGGAGAGAGGCAGAGGATGGGGGATTGGTGTCGGTGGCCTCTCCATCAGGGGCCTTTGAACATGAACACCCCAGTCTTCGGAGGCCAGGGTCTGCAATGCAGACACAGATTAAAGAGTCCTTCACTTACATGTAATGGTCATATCCTTTAACATGTATAATGAGGAGAACAAAGAGAATAAGTTAGGGTGAATAGAACAGTTAAAGAATACAGACAGGAGTGCATCATGAAAACCGCCAAAGAAGGAAATGATGTCAAGAAAGACTGACTGAAATGTCAGATTCTGCAAGAGAGATGAAGTAGGGTGAGAGGGGGAAGGACATGATCATTTGAGATCTAGAGGTCTATTTATAAAGTCACAGAAGTGACTTTTTAAGGTCAGAGCTCTGGAGAAAGACAACGGAGACATGGAGTGAAAACTTTTCTCTCAAGAAACTTGGATACAAAGGAAAGAGTGAAGAAGGAAGGGCAGTGTAAGATACAGACATCTTGTGTGTTTGAGATAGGACATGTGTAAATATGCTATGCACCGAGGGTAATTCAGCAACTTCCAGCAACAAGGGGAAGACATGAGATGGAGATAGGGGTGACTAATACAGGCCGCCATGGGTCACAGGATCCAGAGCAAAAGGGGAGAAATGAGAAAGAGCTGAAGCCCCCACAAAGAGAAGCCTCTGACATAAACGTGCATGAGTTATGCCAAAGCTTAAACACACATACTGGTAAAGACTGTACACTTTTCATGTTATAAATGACAGTGGTAGCTTAGTCATGAAGTCATGTCCGACTCTTGTGACCCTATGGACTGTAGCCTGCCAGGCTCCTCTGTCCATGGGATTCTCCAGACAAGAATACTGGAGTGGGTTGCCATTTCCTTCTACAGGGGATCTTCCCAACTCAGGAACTGAACCCAGGTCTCCTGCATTGCAGGCAGATTCTTTACCAACTGAGCTACTTTTAGAAACAGCTGATCTCCTAATGGGCTTCCCTGGTGGCATTAGTGGTAAAGAACCCGCCTACCAATGCAGGAGGCTTAAGAGACCTGCGTTCAATCTCTATGTGGGGAAGATGCCCTGGAGGAGGGCATGGAAACCCACTCCAGTGTTCTTGCCTGGAGAATCCCATGGACAGAGGAGCCTGGCGGGCTACAGTCACTGAATTACAAAGAGCTGGGCAGGATTGAGGGACTTGCGCTTTCACTTTGTGTTTCTTCATCTATTGGGTTCGTCCAAAGTTTCATTTGGGATTTTCTAAGATGTTACAGAAAAAAAATTTCTTAAACAGTCTAACCTAAAATATACTTGTATAATAAATTACATGTATATAATTTCCTTTTTACAGCTACACAGTCTATATCATAAGCTATTTAATCAGTTCAGTATTGATGGACACAGGAAAATTCTACTCTTTTACTATTATAAATAATGTTGCAACAAATAACCCTGCTACTGCTGCTAAGTCACTTCAGTTGTGTCCGACTCTGTGCAACCCCATAGACGGCAGCCCATCAGGCTTCCCCGTCCCAGGGATCCATCTGAGGTCTGCATTGCAGGCAGATTCTTTACCATCTGAGCCACCAGGGAAGCCCAGAGAAACACAGGCAAAAATCTTTAAAAAGGTTACCAAGAGAGCAAGAAAGGGAACATGATTAAAGGGAACAGATGTGAGAATTAGACTTCTCAGCGTATAGATTTTTACATCAACCTGATTTTTTAATAATATAACCATGTTATTTTTTAAAAAGTAAGAAATGCTGAAAGAAAAATGAAACAAAATCTACTTGTCTGCACTCCTAACCTTTTTCAAGATCTAATTAGTGAATGCAGCACCAAAGCTGTTCTCAAGCATAATGCTCCAAAATATTTTGTCCCTAG